AGTCAGCCAGACCTATTCTTGATGTGTGCCACTTACTAGCTATGTCCTTGGGCAAGTCAGTTGTCACTCTAAGCCTCAGTTTCCTCTGCTTTGAAAACTAGAGGATAAAGCCTATAAAGTGCTGAGAATGGCACCTGGGACATCATAAGTGCTCATTGTATGACTTAGTAGGATCTATTACCTGACACGAGAACCAACTAGAAGGGGACGGGGCTTAAAACAAACAGAAAAGTGTGGATGAAACTCTAAAATTTGAACAAGGGAAATGGATGTCTTTCCCTAATATCAGGGAAGAAGTCATGGGTTCATCTTTCTTCCAAGTATTTTCTTAGGTTCTTTCTCTGGGACTCCCTTCTTAATTCTGAGGCCCTTCTTTGCTTGATGAGCAGAGAGTCAGAACCAAGGGGGGTGGGGGACCTCTACATATTCGATCTCATTTATAGTGAAAATCCCCTGGCTCGGACCCCTGCTTATGGTGGGTTAAACATATGGCAATTCATTATTACTAACAGACCAAAAAATTATGCTATCACTTGTAGTATAATGGGAAAAACAAACAAACTAGGTGTTGGAGCCAGGATTCAAGTATCAATTCCACAACTTAAGAGCTGTGGAAACTTGATCTCCTCTGCGATCTTCCATGGCTTTGTCATCATCAGATGACAATATTAGGAGCACTTTCTTCCTAAAGTCGAGGGCAAGAGTAAACGAGGAAGGGAATGTAAGGCTATAGCTCTGTGCTTGCCCATTGTTGTTATTGGTGGTGGTGGTGGTAGTTGCTATCTATCGAATTAACTCTGACTCATAGCAACCGTATACAACAGAAGGAAACACTGCCCACTCATCTGCCATCCTCAGTCCTTGCTATGCTTGAGCCCATTATCATAGTCACCATGTCAATCCATCTTGTTGAGGGTCTTCCTCTTTTTTCCATACCCTCTACTTTGCCAAGCATGGTATCCTTGTCCAGAAACTGGACCCTTCAGACAACATAACCAAAGTATGCTTCCAAGGAGCATTCTGGCTACACTTCTTCCAGGACAGATCTGTTCTTTCTTCTGGCAGTCCATGGTATTTCCAGTATTATTTGGCAACACCACCATTCAAAGGCATTGTTCTGCTTACTTAGTGCTGCTCTGACAGGAATATACCACAAATGGGATGGCCTTAACAAACAGGAATTCATTCTCTCACAGTTTGGAGGCTTTAAGTCCAAGTTCAAAGTGTCAGGCTCTAGAGGCTGGGTGAAAGCCCCTCAACCTTGGGTTGCAGCTCTGCAACCGGCTCCCGGCCCACTGAAGCTAGAGGCTTTTCTTCACTCAGCTGCTGGCTGCTGAGGCTGACAAACCCAAGGTTGGCAAGTAACAAGGCACAGTCCCGATGTTTCCAAACCACACGGCAGGCCATTGATTTAAGTCCATCGAAAGTCCCAAGTTCAGCAGAGCATGGCAGGCTGCTGAACAACGACATGGCTACATGCAGGGTTAAACCGTGCCATAAGCTAGAGACTATCCCCAGGGCTTCTCCTTATATACAGGAAGCAGACCATATCCCAAAGGCAGCTACTCAGCTGCTTGTGGTAGATCCCACCATGGAACTGATTGCCAGTCTCATCTTGGGGAATAACTACCACCAGCTGCCCAGCCACTCAACCAGGCCCAGCCAAGTTGACATACAAATTTAACTACCACAGTTCCACCCCTTGTCAACTTGGCACCCATACAGATCTTCATTGGGTGGCATTTGCACAGATCTCCTTCACTGGGTGGCTCTTATCCCCTCGTTCCTGAGTGGTGACCTCACCCCTCTGGCCAGGTGGCCCCATTCCTCTCCCTTTTGGGCATGGCAGCCCCTCCCCCTCACTCTTGGGCAGCGGCTATGGCTCCATCCCACTGGCCCACATGAACGAGCAGCCCCACACTCCAGAACCGAGTTGGTGAAGGCCTGGCTCTTTGAAACCCAGGGGGCTGTGGTGGTTCCACCCCCAAAGGCCATAGTCCTACCCTTTCAGGCTGAGGCAGCTCTGCTTCCGTTTCCTCAGTCTCTCTGCTTCTGCCAATTAATGCCGAAGGCAACCCACTCTGCTGGAAAAATTCCTGCCCAAAAAGCACTTGGCTTTCTTGTTCTGTGGGCCGACCAACCTACTACTCCATTTTATGCCAGTCCCTTCACCAATTAATGCCCAAGGGCAACCCACTCTGCCAGGAAGCCACCCGTGCAATGGCATCCAGTTTTTCCTCCATGGGCTGGTAAGACTGTCACTGTCTCATGCTGGTTGTATCGGCTCTGCTCCTGCCATCTGTCATGCCATATGCTGGGGTCTCTCTGCCGGGGTCTTGGGTCAAGGACTCACTCCACTCCTGTTTCTACATTTTAGGTACCTGTCAGAGCAGCGCCCCACTCTCAGTACCAAATGTGTTAGACTGGGTTCTCTAGAGAAAAAAAAACAGAAAAGCTTATATATAGAGAGAAAGAGAAATTTATCTTAGGAAAATGGTTCACACACTTAAAGAAGCTGGAAAATCCCACATTCTTGGATCAAACGTCAAGCTGGAGGCTTTTGCCAACTCACACAGCTGCAGGGGCTGAGGAGCTCAAGGTTGGCAGGCAGTATACTGGCTGTTGACTCCAATGAATGACGAACCCAAGATCTTCAGGCCAAATGGTGGATTGTTCACTCCCGGACAGTTGTAGGCAGAATCCTGACCCAGAGAAGAGTATCTCTTTTCCAGGATGTCCATAAATATACTGGAAGCAGGCCACACCCCTAGGGAAACTCCCTTTCAATGGATTAGCTGCTCAAAACATATACATCTGATCCCATCATTGGAACAACCCACACCACAATTGCTTAAATCACACAGAATTGTGGTCCAGCCAAGTTGACACACAGCTCCAACTATCACAGACATCAAGTCTTCTTCAGTCTTCCTTATTCATTGTCCAGCTTTCACATGCATATGAGGCAATTGAAAATACTATGCCTTGGGTCAAGCACACCTTAGTCTTCAAGGTGACATCTTTGCTCATTGGAAAACACTTGATAAGCACTGGCAATTATTACCATGTGCCTAGAGCTTTGCAAGGAGTCCCCGGGAGGCCTAAACTGTTAAGAACTCAACTATTAGCTGAATGATTGGTGGTTCGAATCTACCTGAAGGCACTTGGAAGACAGGCCTGGTGATCTGCTTCCTAAAGTTCACAGCTTTGAAAACCCTATGTGGCACATTCTACCCTGGCCCATGGGGTCACCGTGAGTCAGAATTGACCCGATGGCAACTAACGGCACCAATAACAGAGCTTTGCCAAAGTGATCTATCTCATCTTCATGTACCTGACCTTTTTAATTCTTACAATAACTGCTCTGGAATCCAGCTCTGTCTGATTCTGAACCTCGCCTGCTTGCCACAACACCACACTGCCCCGGACCCCCATCCATCTTTCCAGAGGGGGCAAGGACAGTAATGTGTAATTTCATGCTATGTTATGGTGAGTAGTTCCAAATTGTTTCTGATGTATAAGAACTGGCTGAACCACTAACTGGCCCAGAGACTGGTTAATTGGCTATTTAACAAGCACCTACTGATTATCAGACACCCACAACAAGTTAAAGACAAGCTGATCTAGAAGAGGAAACAGAAGCAAAACACTGACAGCCCCCACAAGAAGCACTGGCAGCAATTCTCTGGCTTCAAAGTGGTGAGTCACCAGCAAGGGACAGTGTCATCACCAAGGGACAGTGTCCCAGCAAGGGACAGTGTCACCAGCAAGGGACAGTGAGGTGTGATTCTGGGTGAGGGGAGAGAGTGAAGGAGGTCCTGCTGTCAGACATGGGCATTACTGGGGAGAGTGAGCTGGTCCTGAAAGCCAGGAATCTGTACTCAGGATTCAGGCAGATCCCATTTGGGATTCTGGCTCTACTGCTTACCTGTGTGATTTCAAGTAAAAAATAATAATTAATTGTAGTAAAATGTATATAACAAAATATTTGCCAATTCAATAACTTCTATATGTACAATTCAGTGATGTTGATTATGTTCATCATGTTTAACAACTATCTTTTTCCAAATTACTCTGCCACCATTGGCAGAATCTCAACGTCCCCTATGCAATACTCTCCCCTCTACTCCCACCTCCCTCCACTAAGTATCCAAAACTCACTCCCAGTGAGTCCATGCAACTCATAGCAGCCCCCATTGGGTTTCCAAGGCTGTAATTCTTTACAGAAGCAGATTGTCTCCTCTTCCTCCCACAGAGCAGCTGGTGGGTTTGAACTGCTGACCTTGTGCTTAGCAGCCAAATGCCTTGCCCACTATGGCACCAGAGTTCCTTCCTCTCTCCACTGGTAACCACTAATAAACTTTGGTCTCTCTGTATTTGTCTATTTCAAGCAAAATGCATGGGCCCAGTTTCCCCACCTATACAATGGTGAGATAAACCCACCCACTGCCATTGAGTGGATTCTGACTCACAGCGCCCCTAGAGGACAGGGGAGAACTGCTCCATAAGATTTCCAAGGTTGTAAATCCTTGGAAACCCAAGGAGGGGTTGCTATGAGTCGGGTCCGACTCGACGGCACACAACAACAGCAACAAATCTTTACAGAAGCACACTGCCTCATCTTTCTCCTGAGGAGCAGCTGGTGGGTTTGAACAACCTGTACTTAAAGTCCACTTCATTTTCACTTCCTCTTTATTGATTGGGGGTGGAGGAAGAAAAGACAAGGCAGTCCTTAAAGGCAATGTTCATGCTTCATAGATCTTCACCCTTCTAAGTAGATCCCAACCTCATACAAAATCTAGGAAACGGAGAATTTGCCTTGTGTTATTTTGCCCTTACTGGTCTCTTCTTTGTGCCCTAGTGAAAGGAGCTGGTGGGCCCACCTATTCCCACACAACCCAAAAACCAGAGAAAGGATCTTCATCGTGGGGGTGAGGATCCAGGCTGGGCCCAGTGGCTCTGTCGCCCACCCTGGCTCAGGACCATGTTTGTCTCCACAGGGGCTTTCCGAGGAGTGTGCAAGAAAATCGATCACTTCCCTGAAGATGCTGACTACGAACAGGACACCGCAGAATATTTACTGAGTAAGTTCTCTCCTTTCAGGCTTCCCTTGGAGGGAGGGAGAAGGGGCGCCCTGGGATCACCCAGGTGCCTCTGAATTTGAGGTTCCTCAGTATCCAGCCTTAGAAATAGGTCAGTAGAAAAGAGCTTGGGTCACCAGACATTTAAGTGGTTCAAATATTTAAGTCTCATAAATTTTAATGAAGTAGAAATGGAAGCCAAACAAACAAAAGTCAAAAGTGAAAGATTCTTTTTTAAGTTTCTATGGAAGAAATCTAAGGAATTTTCTTTTTTATTTATTATTATTTTTTATTTATTTATTTTATTTAAAAAATGCACTTTATTGAAATATAAT